AAAAAAAAAAAAAAAAACAAAACAAAACAAAACAAAACAAAACAGCGTGCCTCATCTCACGTTAACGTTAGAGGAGAATGATGATGATGAGGAGGAGGAAATAGATGAAGAGGAGAAGGGGGAGGAAGAGCAGGAGGAGGAGGAGGACAAAGGTAGGGCGGCGAAGGAGGACACGGCAGAAGATGTGGAGGGCGAGGGGGAGGAGTAGGATAAACTTCCCGATAAAGGTGTGGCGGAGGAGAAGGAGGAGGAGGAGATTTTGGCAAAAAAAAAAAATAAAAGTGCCACGTGGCATGTTCATGTTAGAAGAGGAGGAGGAAGGAAGAGGAGGAGGACGACGAGAACGACGACGACGAGGACGAGGACGATATGAGGAGAGAAGAGGAGGATGAGGAGGATATGGAGAGAGAGAGAGAGAGAGAGAGAGAGAGAGAGAGAGAGAGAGAGAGAGAGAGAGAGAGAGAGAGAGAGAGAGAGAGAGAGAGAGAGCTGGTGGTACCCACCGCCATGGTTACCCGCTGCTCTCCTGCCGCTGCCTCCTGCCGCGACCACCCGCGGTTGACTGCTGCCTCTGCCGTTGCCACTGCCTCCGAAGGCCTTGTCCTCCTGTTGCCTCTTGCCCTAGCTTTCTTGACCCTCCCTCCTCCGTCCTCCCTCCTGTTTCCTCCCTCTTCCCTCCTCGTCGTCGTCCTCCTTGGTCCGTCCTTCCTCCTTTGTCGACCCTAGTCATCCTTCCAATGACTTCCCTCCACCGTCCTTTGTCGTCCTCGTTGCCCTTCGTCATCATTTCCCCTCGCCGTTGTCGTCCCTTCTTCCCTTGTTGTCGTCCTCCCTCCTTCCCAGAAGAAGTAGCCCTCCTCCCTCCTTCATCGCCCTTGTCGTCGTTCGTCATCGTCGAAGTCATTCATCCATTGGCAGGCCCCCAATCTGCACACGAACATGGTCGCGTCAAGTGTGAAACCGGCCCGGACCCTGGCCCAGTATTTTTTTGGGGGGAAAGGCCTACAAAATTTGAATTCGATTTCTGCAGACATTTCCCCCCCCAAAAAAAAGTTTTGGGCCAGAGCGGGGTAGGTTTTGCACTTGAGGCGACCTCCTTTTCATTTTTGCCTTGTAGGGGGGGCACGGAACTCTGCGACCCCGTTTTTTTGAGGGGGGTGGAGGAGACCCTAATTAATCCAGTGCGCTGCATCGGGTGCGCGGCGCCGTGCGGGGCTCGATGTGCGCGACGCGTGCGCGGAGCCACGCACCTCGATGCGCCGCAAGTATGGTATAAACAGTTCTTCACACCCATGAGTCATCGATCGTCTTGGTTTCGGCCCACCTCTAACCAGGAGTGACAGACCTCCCGTCACCCTGACATCCCTCATTCTGCCTGCCTCGGGCCAGAACTAATCAGACCATTTGTCTTGGCAGTCCCTTTAGCCTGCCTCCACGTCAGGACCACCATACCCACTACTCAAGTATGACGGTCGTTTAGGTGTGCCTCACGCCAGGACACCCAGACTATAGCGGGTTTGGTCACCCTAAGACAGTAGACCTCAAGCTCCCGTCAGTCCAACCGCCCTATACCCGGATTTGACCACGGCAATCGGGACCAGCTCACCCACCAGTTTTCGATCTAGAACGTTGGCTGCCATGCCCAAATTTGGAACGTAGGACCCGGTGTAACTACGATTCAGGCTCTGGCAAACCCACTAGATTGCAACCTCTGACTGCGGTAGGGTTCTAGTTGACCTCTTTTGACCTCACAAACCAGGTTCCCGGAGTCTTAGCCTTAGTCAACTACGAAGTTTAACACTCGAGTCAAAAACCTGCTGACCCCACCGGATTGCAACCTACTGCAGTATGCCTCTGGCTAGCCCCAACAATCAATGACACCTCAGGTTAGAGAAGAATACCCAAACACAGATAGTCAAACAAGCACGTAGGAACCCACAAGCAGACTGACCGTGCCCCATATAATTGAACAAACATTTCTCAAGAGACGTTCCATCAGTCTCAAGGCACTAAACAGCAACAAAACAACAACCAACATAGTATCTCCAAGAGTCCAAGGGACCTCCTTTCAGCCTCAAGGAATTACAAAGAGCTTATCCCAGAGAGGTCCCCTCCATCTGAGATTTTTCCAAGTGACTTTCAGCCTCAGGGAAATATAGTGATCCTCGTCCCAAAGAGGTCCCTTCCCTCATTGGAGAATACTTCCAAGAGACCTCCCGTCAGTTTCAAGGAAGTATCGAGATACTGGTCCCAGAGAGGTCTCTTCCCTCATCTGAGACAAAAGATGTACAACTTAGTCAAGAAACATGAAGTCCCTTTGCTGAAAAAGAAGGGCGCTGAACACTTTTTGCTGGCAAAACCTGAAGGTGAGATTACCGTCGTTTGGCAGGTTGGATCTAAACAGACTCATCCGAGAGGCACAAATGGTTAATGGGGACCCCCAGTTTCAGGCCCTGGGTCACATTAGGGATGATGGTAAAATGGAAAGTCCTAGGAAACGATGGTTTGCCAGTGAAGTTTTACTTCGTCGTTTGGCAGATACTGGGGAAGAATCTGGTGAACATCTATAACGAAATTCTTACTAGGGGTCAGCTCCCAAGAAATGTTTGTAATGAGATCATCTCATTGCTCTTCAAAAAGGAAGACGAGAGCGAAATTCGGAATGTGTGTTCAATCTCGTCAAAATATTAGTGCGTAGAGTAGCTAGGTGCATGCCGGATCTGATACTAGACGACCAGGCGGTCTTTGATAAAGGTCGTTCAATCTTTGTTAACATCATGATGAGAGAGAAGGTTAACGAAGATCCTAATTTCAGACCACTTGCAAAGTCATTTATAAGAAAACCAAAGGGTCATTTTAATCAAACTTGTTACCAAAACAGCGAGGCAAAAGTACATTTTCATAAAATTTCGCCAACATTTCAATTTCAGAAATCTCGAGAAATTTCAGAAATCTTAACAGACGAAATTCCAATTCTCCAAATGACACAAAATTTGGCATACAACAACCTTGAACCAAAACAAGAACAGACAAAAAAAAAAAAAAACCATAAAATTTGACCTCGAATTCCTAATTTCAGTTTTGGAATCGTTACCAGGGTTTGAAATTGGGGGTCCTTGTTAACCATTTGTGTCACAGCAATTGAGGCAATGGAGCCAGTGCAGGAAGGTACCTTAGATTACGTCATTCTTTTGTTGAACATGAAGAAGGCATATGACTGAGTCAACTGGCCATATGTCCTCACCTCCCTCGGATGGTTTGGTTTTGGAGAGAATTTCTGCAAATGGGTAATTGTCATGTACTCGCATTGAACAGCCTCAGTCATGGTCAATGATTACTTCTCCGAGAGCTTCAAACTCTCAAGATCGCTACGCCAGGGGTGCCCCTTGGCTCCACTTTTGTTCGTTTTTCAGCTGGAAACAATACTCAGTTGGAAACACCAGGAGATTCAAGGTCTACCAATAAGGGGGAAGAGATTGCAGAGTAAAGGCTTTAACCAACAATCTCTTCGCAGTTGTCGTCAATAAAAACACTTCGCTTACTTCGCTGGGAGCATGCTTGCAGAAATTTGAAGGTCCAGTGGAGAATGAGAAGAATCAAGACTAAGCAGTCGGAACGGTTCCTTGGAGTTCAGTTGACAATGCTCCTTTGTGTTGCAGATCAAGATGAATTGCTCCACAGAAGGTGTTGCACCATCTGTCGGCCTGGGGAAAACCCCCCCATCTCTCCCTCTTAGGAGGATCCCTTGTGGTCAATGTAGCATTGTTTGCTCTACTATGGTATGTGGGGAGGATCAGACCCCTAGGGGGAAGGGCGAAAGTAGTGGCCAAAAGAAGGTCGTCAAGGTTCAT